AATGCAGAAACACAGAGATACTGGGAAAACAGAAGTCAGCTAATGAACGGCTATATATGTATCTTCTTACCCATGGGAAAGCTGAAATCAACTAAGGGGTTAATGATAAATATCATAAAGCCTGAAATTTGAAATAATAATAATATTTTTCGTTTTATTATTATGCTTTGAAATTGTTTATGTTGTTACCAAACCAGACCCAATAACGAAGGGAATTCTGAAGCATATACAAAATGCAATTCAGCTACTTATTCATTTAAGTATAAATGAATATCAAATAATTAAAAATATACCCAATCCTCTCTTTTTTGATTTAAATGGCTAAATTTTGTAGCGATACTTGGTATTGGAAAATCGATTAAACTATTAAAATTAACTTACTATTTTGACGAATATTGACTAGCTCAAATAGTACATTATACATCAAGTCATGATTTTAGGAGCATGATTGTTGGTGGCGTCGGGATTTTGTCAATAAGGATTCAGTCTCAGGAGTGCAGCCTTGAAATTAATCGTCTGCCGAATAGTCACCCAATAAAGTGTTGCCACTCAAAGGCATTATGAGGGTTTAAGAGGGTTTCGCTTGAAGCTGTTTTTATGTGATTTTCATTTCAATGACCACATGAGATGGGTTTCAATGGTGTTAGAGAATAATCAATTGTTCCATTTGACTCGAGTAAATGAAAGCAAGCTTGAGACGAATCCTTTGCGCTTAGTGTGTGAAAGTGTTTAAAATAAGTCGGATCATTTAATTAAATTAAGATGACCTCGGCCAATCTACCTGCTCGTCATTACTTAGGAACATTTATTTATTCATATGAAATAGCAATCGTTTTGTAGGTTATCATTAACCATTTAGTTGACTTCAGGCTTCACAGAGGGGAGAGACCATCAAAGTGAGAAAAATTCGAAATGGGAGCAGAGAAGATATTCAAAGATGTAAAAGAGACAGACAAAAGGTAGAAAAAGTTGAGGTGAGTTATGTGGAAGTAGTCGAATATGACATACAGTGGGGTGATGGTAATTTGAAGTCAAAAGTCATCTACTGGTTTATAGATTTTTTTGCCGTATGAGTGTACGTTGCTCAAGGTGCCCCACGTAAAGTTAAATCTATCGCTCACCTTATGGAAAAAGACCTAATGTAGAGAATATTTGTCAACGTTCACTTTATTTCTAAAGTTCTCAACGTTCGAAGAATATTAACCTTGTATGATGAATAAACACGATTATATCATTACACTTAGTTGAGTAAAGGATGCGTTAGAAAGTAGCACCACTGGGTTATGAGGAGTGAGACTGATAAAGTGCGATTGATACACTTACCCTAACACGATGATTGCCAGTTTCTATTGATAATTTTAAAAAATGTAGCAGCAGAATTGAATTGAAATTGATCCAAGACAATGCTGCCATCCAACCGTTGCAATATTATGTCTGCCTTAAGTGTCAACTTTAGATGTGTGATCCCCTTATTAAGGGCATTCATCTTGTGGTGTCAAAATGTCCAAATTAAGAGAAAGAAGCTTTTATTCAAGGTATACCTATAATCGGATTGCATATTGTAACTGAATTTTCGAGTAAAATTTTAGCTCACATTAAGGCCTTCAGTGAAATTACAGTTTTTGAATTGCACTGTAGTTTATACATTGAAAAACACAGTTGCCTAATTTGGAACTCGGTTTAGAGATTTGATGATAATCGTGTAAACAGTTGTAGGCATCGCATCCTTTCTTGCCATCAGTTTGCGAAATCATTGAGCAAAGTCCACAATTTTGTCAAAATCATGGAAAAGGTGTAGGTTCATTAATCTAATGTTGAAATAAATTAAATATTGCATTTATACTTTTAGAATATTTTCCTTCTTATCGACTACGCCCTTGGAGATCCAATTACATTTCAACATTTTGATTAAAATCATAAGTATTCTCTGTTAATTATGCTTGAATTTCAATATTGCTTAAAATTACAGAGTATCGAACCTCAAGTCTTGGAAACTTCTGATGGCATTCCTAACAATGTAAATTCCGATTCTCTATGTATAATTGAAAAGGAATACCAGTACTGAAAAAGGGCAAAGTCCCTAGCAACGTTGACAATAACAGGCCTATCTCCCTCACAGGTGTGCTGGCTAAACTTATGGAAAGATTGGTTAACAGAAGGCTGACCTGTTTCATTGAGACCAACAATATTCTTAGGAGTGAACAAGCAGGTTTTAGGCCACAAAGATCAACGAACCAACAAGAAGCTACTTTCTCTGAACACATCAAAGATGCCCTTGATGCAAGAAATACCCTTACGGGTGTTTTCGTCGATTTCAAATCCGCATATGAATTAGTATGGAAAGAGAAGCTAATTCTAAAATTGGCTTAGATTGGTATTAAGCATAACATGCTAAACTGGATAAAAGCATTCATTGGACAAAGATCGTGTAAAGTCAGATACGGAAAAGTTCTATAAAAAATCCAATATTTTACAAACAGGCCTTCCACAGGGGGCTGTCGCAAGCTGCACTCTTTTCAATATCTTCAGCAATGACATAGCCGAATTGGTACAAGCTGTCACGGGCACCAAGTGCTTACTTTATGCAGATAATCTTGTTCTATGGTATTTTGCTTACTTTATGCAGATGATCTGGTACTATGGTATTCCGGGCTTACTTTATGCAGATGATCTTGTTCTATGGTATTCCGCCTACTTTACGCAGATGATCTGGTACTATGGTATTCCGCCCCCAAGGAAAAAAGCTAAGGAGAGGACAGAAAGTGTCCTAAATTGTGCACTTACATGAAAGCTATGGTATTTGCTTACTTTATGCAGATGATCTGGTACTATGGTATTCCGGGCTTACTTTATGCAGATGATCTTGTTCTATGGTATTCCGCCTACTTTACGCAGATGATCTGGTACTATGGTATTCCGCCCCCAAGGAAAAAAGCTAAGGAGAGGACAGAAAGTGTCCTAAATTGTGCACTTACATGAAAGCTATGGTATTCCGCCCCTAAGAAAAACGCTCAGGAGAGGTCGGAAAGTGCCCTAAATTGTGCAATAAAACTACTTGCAAACTAGTGTGACAACAATGGAATAGTTATCAACACCGCAAAAACTGCATTCCAAACCATTTCTTTGGCCTGTCACAGCATAAACCCACTTCTAAGGTACAAGGATACTGCGCTAAAAAACTAATGAGTTTATATATCTCGAAATGACGTTTGACACAAAGCTAATGTGAAAAAGTCACATTGCTAAAATAGCAGAACGAATATCCAATCGACTGAATGTATTGAAGCGTCTTGCTGGTAGAGTATGGGGCTGTGCACGCTCAACCCTCAACAGCACTTACAAGATGTAAATTCAGCCAATAATGTTGTATTGCTGTGAGCCACTCATTACAGTCACAGAGGTGACTCTCAAACCACTCGAGAAGGCACACAATCAAGCATTACGACTAATTACTGGAGGATAAAATCAACACCCATTGATGCAATGCTCCTAGTTACAGGAAGCACCACAATATGTTCCCTTATCAAAGAAAAGGCGTTGATCCTGTATGAGAAGCTACTGCGCATTTCCATGGACAATTTCTTCAGCACCTATGAGAATAGACCAAGACATCTGAAAACTCAATATGGTCTAATACAGAAAGCTATAGAACTGAAGAGAGAATTAAAAATCGATGCCAAACCAAAAAGCCTCCCTCTCTCCATGAACCCATTAGCAGACATTGATGTAGTATGTTGCACCCAACTGCGTCTTCAGGAAATCAAACACTCCTCCAGAGCAAATGCGCTCCCCTTAGGAAATCAAACGCCTCTCTAGAGCAAATGCACTCACTGGCCCTTGAGACAATCAATGTCAACTATGCTGCAGATCAATGGCTCCAAGTTTTCACTGGTAGGTCATACATCGAAAACCTAGCAAACATCAGTGCAAGTATCCTTTTTGAACTCTGTTCTTTCTGCGCAGCGGCGGGACACAATAGATCCACTTTTGAAATGGAAATAGAGGCAATTAGGATAGCACTATTTCAATTATGTTGCCTGGGTACGAAATTCACCAAAGCGGTGATACTTTCGGTATCACAGACGGCAACGTTTAGTTTTTGCAATCACTTCTTGTAGGCATTCCACCACCACCACCACTAACATCACAACCTCGTATTTACTTACTTCTTTACTTACTTAATCACTCGCTTGCTCACTTACCTGCTTACTTGCTTACTTAGACGAGTATGAGGAAAGCCTCAACTGATAGGAAAACAGTGTCATTCCTATGGCTGAACTTCCTCCATCTCTACCTCTTCGAGTTCAATTCCCTCAAACATTGATTCGATGAACCTCGTGGAGAACACCAGACCCCCCGCAGTCATACTTATAATGGGTAAGGATTGGGATGAAATGTACAAACAATTTGTAGCTGGTTGTTTTCTCATCTCAAATCTTGCCTTGTAGACCCCTTCGATACTTCTCACATGTTGACGCTTTTCAACAAAATCTGGGAGACCAGTCCCGTACCTAACCAATGGAAATTTGCCATAGTAATACCAGTACTCAAAAAGGGCAAAGACCCTAGCAACTTTGACAACTATAGGCCTATCTCCCTCACAAGCGTGCTGGCTAAACTCATGGAAAGAATGATTAACAGGAGGCTGACCTGGTTCCTTGAGACCAACAATATACTTAGGAGTGAACAAGCAGGTTTTAGGCCACAAAGATCAACAAACCAACAAGAAGCCACTTTCTTCCAACACATCAAAGATGCCCTTGATGAAAGAAATACCCTTACGGCTGTTTTCGTCGACTTCAAATCAGTATATGACTTAGTATGGAAAGAGAAGCTAATTCTAAAATTGGCAAAGATTGGTATTAAGTATAACATGCTAAACTGGATAAAATCAACCAATAAACAAAGATCATTAAACACCACTTACAAGATATTCATTCAGCCAATAATATTGTGTTGCTGTTAGCCACTCATTACTGCCAAAGAGGTGACTCTCAAACCACTAGAGAAGGCACACAACCATGCATTACGACTAATTACTGGAGAAATAAAATCAACATCCATTGATGCATTTTTCCTAGTTATAGGAAGCACCACAATACGTTCCCTTATCAAAGAAAAGGCCTTGATCATGTATGTGAAGCTACGGACATTCCCATGGATAAGGGCTTTAGAACCTATGAGAATAGACCAAGACATCTGAAAACGCAATTCGTCTTATAGACCAAGACATCTGAAAACGCAATCTGGTCTAATACAAAAAACTAAAGAACTGAAGAATGAACTACAAATCGATGACAAACCAAGAAGCCTCTCTCTACCCATTACACTGATGTAGTGTGTTGCACCCAACTGCTTGACCGCTTCAGGAAATTTTTTTAAGAGCAGTTTAATTAAATTGAAGCATAATTGACATGGTTAATAAAGCGAACTTGAACAGCGCTTAAATAAATGAATGATTTAAATGCAATGATTAATTTTTAAATAATTGGAGTAGCATTCTTTTCCAATATATGTTTAAATATATATTTATTTATCAATTCATCGATTAATCTATTCCCATAATTTGCTCAGTCTCGTGTATAACTCAATCTTACTTAATTGATGATGATGATTCGATTATTAATTGAAATTTAAATGAATGCATAAATAGCTATGAACGCAATTGCTGTAAACAAAATTAGCATCTTTCTTTCTCTTACAATTATATCCAAAACAACAATGATTGTCACGCAGTTCACTATATCTATTAAGAATATTTTAAAACTAATTTATGTTTTCTTCGATGAGACAACATCATAATTAATTCCCATATTATTAGTTTGTCTCACTTATTGAAGGCGACATTATTGAAAATAAATAACCTGTAAAAATGGAATAATCTCATTAGGTTTAAAAAAACAGAAAATGTCAGATTCGTTATGTGTTGTTTTGAGTCAAATTTGAGTGTCGTTTGTTGAGATGATCAAACATTTATTATTTGGTTTCACCAATTTTTCGCCGTCTTGATCTCACCGCAGGCCCATTGACTTAGTGCATCCGTTGCATTCCACAATATGCATCATTATGACACTTTTTTATTAGATTTCGGAAAACCAAATAAACACGACAAGCGAATTTGCTCAAAAATGAAGACAATTCAAACAGCACTTCGTGAACCTTGAAAACTAAATATTGCATTCCGCCACATATATATATATATATATATATATATATATATATAGACCATCACCATTTTGAAAAAAATATTTCTGTAACTTTGCCGTAGTTCTAGACATATCGAAATAATCGTAGATCGATAATCTTTTTATTTTTTCCATTTCAGATTGCTAGGAGAGTTGAAATCGTGGGTATGGTCACNAACAAATGTGTCCGATCAACATTCTTGTATTTTAGGTTGCCATATAATTGCATTAGCAGAAAAGATGATTCAGAGTTAATGCTGAGAGCTGCGATCTCATATTGAATGTCTAAATAATATTCCTGGCATTAAATTTACACATCATTCCATTATATCGTATAATTTCCCTCCCCCCAAAAATTTGATTCTCTTACATTTTATAAGTTGGGTGCATCACTTTCTTTTGAATTTATTCAATAGTTTGTCAATGGAAATGACTACTGAACAACCCTACCATCATATTTTGTAATGAATTCTTGCATTAATATATATATATATATATATATATATATATATAATTTTTTATTTGTATCAAACGACAGGTATTTTGATAATCATTATTAGCCTTTAGTTGACATAAAATTCTCTAAAAATGGTGTTCACTGGTTAGCTAGTACTTCTAACACATATTACGGCAGACCAACGTTTGCCGCCTACACACTCAGGCAATAATATTTCTTGACCATTGTTAAACATTCGCGAACTGACTGGAAGTTCATCGCAGATTTATTAAATGAACAGATTGTGACTTAAATGTGAACATTGAGGGAAAGATTCTTAGAACAAACAAACTCATTCGCAAGATTGGATTTTCAAGTCTGCAACAAAATGTAAAGATTGTCCAAACCAGCATTCCATCTATTTCAATAGATGGTCAATCTGACATTGGTAACATTTATTTATTCATTTTTCCATATCAAAAGGGCAGGCGTTTTGATGTTTTCCGTTGGCCCTTAAGTTGAGTTCAGGCTTCACAGAGAGGAAGGAACATCAAAGTGAAAAAAAGTCGAGAGGTGAGGATGGGGGCAGAAGTGTTCCAAAGACAAATGTAGAATAAAGGTGAGGTGAGTACTGTGGTAGCGATCAAATATAACATAGAATGGGGTGATGGTAGCTTGATGTCTGAAGTCAACTGCCGGTTAATAGACTTGTTTTGCCCTACGCGTATACGTTAACCTGGGTGCTCCGTGTGGAGGTAAGTCTATCGCACACCCCCAAATTATTTTATAAACTTTGTTTTCAAATTAATTAATTAATTAATTAAAAGGACAATTGGAAAGATCAATATTATAACACGTGAACAATGACATTGGTTAATTAATGCAATGATCTACCGGATTTTTTATTTCATGATATTTAAACTTATCTAGATTCAAAATAGCAATGGTTTAAGTTTTAATGAAAGCCATATTAAAAGAAGCATTTAATGAAGTCTGCCAAATTTAAATAAGTTACTGGAATAAAGAAAAGTGCATTAATCATGACGAATTAGAGCAGAAATCTAGTTGAAAAGTTAATAAGAAGTTACTTAAAATGAAGTATATTATTTTACATAACTAATGACAAGTAAAGAATCTAATTGAGATAGAACCTGTGTTGAAATCTGT